TTCAGGCTGAGGCCGGTGTCCCAGAAGCCCCCTCGCCACCTTTCTTGTCCTTGGACAGGTCTACCTTCAGGACTGGACCGGCCTCCACAGCCTCCTTCAGACCCCACCTGGCAGAGCACTCCTGCCCAGGTCCTGGGCCCCCACCCTGCTCCCAGAAGGAAGGGGTTCAGGACACCCCCGCCACCCAAGGTTGGCTGTGAGGCCACCACAAGTGCGAGCAGGCTGGGGGAGGAGGGTTCATGTTAGAAGACCAGTCTGTGGAAGTCGCCACCAGTGCCACCTGCAGGGCTGCAGCCCCCGGGAGGGCCTTCATCCTCATCTTTGTCATCGTCAAAGCCCCTCCTCCAGTGCGGAGATGCAGGGAGTGCAGAGATGTAGGCGGCCCTGCTCCGTGCCTCCTTCTCCTGCTCCTGGAAACAAAGATGGGGCAGGAAGCTTAAAATTAAGGCTGTGAAGCCAGAGTCCTCTCTTCACTCTCCAAATGCCACCCTACACAGTGCTTCAAAGAGTCTCCTGGGGTCCCCACGGCCAGGCACAGAGGAGCCACAGCTTTTGCCCTGCAGGCCCTCCAGCCCAGTGGGAAGACAAGTGGAATGGACCCATATCCAGCCTGTATCTAGGTTTCAAAATCATTCTTTCTCCTCTCCCTGATAAAAACTCATTTATACTAGACTGGCTGACAAGGGCCTGATGTGGCACCAGGACGCAGGAGGTCCAGAGCCCACCAACTGGGACCTCTCTGCAGGCTTCCTGACTCTAATGTCCAGCTCACTGCCTCTCAAGGCACAAGGAACAGACTGCCAGCTAGAGAGCCCTTCTTCCTACTGAACAGAGGTGGGCCATGGAGACTCCTTACCACCAGCCCCTGCCCTACCTGGGCAGAAACGTACAAGCAGCCCCAGTGTCCCCACCCAGGCCCATGTTCCCCATAGAAACTGCTGACTCAGGCAGCGCTGCCCACTGCGACTACAACAGCTGTTGGGGACAGCACCCTTCAAGTTGGTCAGGGCCCTATTATTTCAGTTGCTAAGTATTCTGATACCACCCTTGACTCTAAAGAGTCAAAGGCACAGTGAGAGAAGGTCACTGGGTAGGACAGTCCCCCAAGATCCTCTCCACCCACTCACATTGAGCGAGGCCTCACTCAGAGCACCGCCACTTCTCCAGCACACTTAACGACAACTTAATAAAGAACTGATCATTCCTACTGTCTGTTCCTCTAAAACACGGGGTTACCCTTTACCTGGCCCACCCACTTCTCCCAGAACTAAGTGATAGATAAATGGATCAAAGGAAAAAAGGAAGAGACTCAGAGAGGAGCAGTAACTTGTCTGGGCAGGTGGGTGTGCTGGGGAGCCCCTCCGCCCAGTGATCCGATGAAAGGTCCCAGCCGGTCTGCTCACCTGCAGGTAAAGGATGTTGTCTTTAGAAATGGCTTCCATCAAGTCTTTGTGGAGGCTGGGCTCTGCCCGGGTGCGGGGGGAGCCAGGTTCAGCCTCAGGCCCCTCCTCAGACCCCTCCCCGGGCCGCTGCCGGTAGAAGAGCACATACGCCGTGTCCTTGGGGAAGAAGGAGGTGACGTTGCTGACAGACTCAAATGAGGAGAAGGACACCCGCGTATCGTTGAACAGGTACCACTGGTTGTCGGGCTCGGACCTGTCAGCGGCTCCCAGGCTCAGGGCCTGGCGGGCGGTGCCCTCACGGGCGTAGCAGTAGTAGTGGCCGCTCTCCGAGGACACCCCGGAGTGCACCACGACGCTGCAGAGGTCGTAGGCCTGGCCCCGGCCCCCGGCCAGCGGCAGGCGCAGCAGCAGTGGGATGGACACGTCGTCCAGGATCTTGCGGCGCCGCATGGTGCGCAGGTCGAAGGAGAAGCGCAGCAGCGTGAGGATGAGGTAGCGCGGCCCCTGGCTCAGCTCCACCACCTTCTCCGCGTCCTGCAGCGAGGCGCACGACTCGCAGTGGTAGCGGTTCTCTGCCATCAGCCTCTCAGGGGACAGGAAGTAGTTGACCAGGTCCAGGACGGAACGGGAGCCCTCGCTAGCAGGGGCAGTGGCATCCTTGCGGGTCCCTGGGCCGGGGTTGGCTGCTTCCTTCTTCTCGGCCTCCGCCTCAGCCTCCTTCTCCTTCCCCTCGGCCTCCGCCTCCTTCTCCTTCCCCTCAGTGTCCGCCTCCTTCTCCTTCCCCTCGGCCTCCGCCTCCTGCTCCTTCCTCTCGGCCTCCGCCTCCAGCTCCTTCCTCTCCACCCCTGTGTCCTTCCCCTCTGCCTCCGTCTCCTTCTCCATTTTCTTCTTCTCTTCCTCCACTTTCTCGTCCCCCTTTTCCTTCTCTTCCTCTTCCTCCCTGGTCCTTTCTTCCTCCTCCGCCTCCTCCTCCCTCTCCACCTTCTCCTCCAGATTGCTCTGTCCCCGGGGCCCCTGGGGGCCCAGGCTTTCAATGTCCAGGATGGCGGGGGGGACGTCCCCTGTGATGCAGTGTTTCCTCTGCCTCTGAGGACCCGTCCTGCTTGGCACCTGGGCTCGGGATGGCGGAGGGAGGTCCCGGGCGCCAATGTCCTCTGCAGGGAGCATCACTGAGCCCACGCGGCGTCGGCGGCAGCGGTCGGGTGGGGGAAAGGCGAGAGAGAGGTCCGTGAATGCCTCCTCCCTGGAGGAGACGTTGAGGCAGCGGAGACAACGTATCCGAGTCACAATCTTGCCCCCAAACATCTTCTCCACAGAGGTTGAACTCGGGCCAGGGGGGTCCTCAGGTGGGGAGGGAGAGCTGGACTGCTTGAGCTTTTGGCAGATCCTTGTCCCGGTCTTCTCCTCTTCGTGCAGCCTGGAGCAAGGAAAAAAGAGCCATCTGTACAGGTCTGTTTCCAGTTCCCTGGCCTGACCCGGGCCACCTACCTTACCCATCTGGCCACAAGTTTACACACACACAGGAGAAGGCACGGGGAACAAACACCCACTTGTGTAAGTGGCATCCATGCACGTGCACTCACATGCCAGGTGCACAGACCACATACCAACTGGCAAAAGGCACACAAACCTACCTCAAAAAGATGTGCCATATCTATGTGCATGTACTCCCAAAGCAGTAATGAAAACACACACACGAGCACACTCAGGCAAGCATAGCACAGTGTGTATACCCACTCTTACCACTCCCAGGTCACACTTCACATCAGCATCTCCAAAACCTTCCGCACATTCACCCCCACACTCATGGCACCCATCTTCTCCAAGCCTTTGACAGGTGCAATACTGTGCAGCACCCCCGTTTCCAGGAAGAGAGAACGCAGCCCAGGGGGACAGGGCTTTCCCACAAGCACCCTCTTCAGGCCAGAGCCCCCATGCAGAGCCAGGTCTGGCCTCCCTTACCGATCCAGCAGGTACTTTAGGTACTCTGAGCAGTCCTGCTGGGTGCCAGGGCTGAACCAGGGTGTCCAGGATGCAGACAGGAAGTTCTCCGGAGAAATGGCTGGCCGCTAGGACCAAGGTGGGAGAAAGGCAAGGTCAGGAGTAGGTGGCCACTCACCAACCAGCTCCATAGTGTGCTAGGCCTGAGGGTCCCCCTAGGGACACTCTGCCCTGAACTTCCAGCCTCCTCATTAAATCCTCCCTCTTCCCCTCCCGAGTTGTCCTTAGCCATTCCCACCAAGTCCATGCAGCCTGTGAGCAAGGCACTGGGTTCATGGAGGTGAACAATCCTCCAGGAATCTGCTCTTCCCCGACACACTTCGTATTTTTCTCCAGGCCCTTATTAGCTGCCATTCCCTCTGCCTGAAACAGCTTTCTCCCCCATCAAAGGTTTAGCTAGAGTCCAAGTCCCAAAAGCAGTGTCACCTGTCCCATGAGGTCTTCCCAATGGCTCCTCCCCCATCTCATCATCAACCTCTCCCCGCCTTGCACGACATGACAGGCGCATGTCCGTCTGCTCAGGCACCACAGTTGCTCTCTGCAGGTCCACCTTCCCCACCAGACCATGAGCTCCACGAAGGCTGGGCTGTAGCTGACTCACCTCTGTGCTCCTGCACAGGGCCGGGCACGAGGCCTGGCCAAGGGCTTTAGGTTCCACAAGGGCAGAGACAGTGAAAAAAACAAACACAGCCCTCAGGGTGCCCAGCCATGTAAGTGCTCAAAAGTGACAGCAGACACACAAAGCCACACCTTATGCAACAGACTGAATCAACGATGGGAGACATGGGAGCAGAACAGTACCGAGGGGCTCAAGAAGGCACCCTCTCCTGCCCGGTAAGGGGGCTTCTGCCATGGGCTTCTGCCATGGGCTTCTGCCATGAATCCCTGCCAGCGCGAACTGGGGCCCAAAGGCTTGCATGAGGAAGAGGGGGCTCACAGCCCAGTGCCGGCAAGTCCTGGGGAAGGGGAGGTGTCAGACCGGGGCCGCCTCTCCAGCACGCCTCCACTCCCCCTGCGCTCACCTGGCTGTGCTCCAGGAAGGCGAAGAGCCACTGCAGTTTGGTCATCAAGGGCTGCGAGTTGTTCTCAGTCAAACGGAGCACACAGTGTCTGAAGCTTCAAAACAGAGCAGGAGCACCCAGAGTAAGCCAAGGGCACCCAAGGAGCTTCTACTCGCCCACACCACGGCAACCCAGGGCCTCCAGGCTACAGCAGGACAGACACTTGTAGCTCAGGTCAGGGCCAGAGAGGAGGAACAGGTGAAGAACTCAGCTTGGACAAAGAGGTGACCCCTGCAGTCCTTTCCAGTTCTGACAGCCCATGACTTCAAGATTCGAAGATATGAGTGTCCTAAGGTGTTATGGTCCCAGGGTTCTAAAGCTGGAACTCTGACATGCTCCAGAGTCCATGCCAGTATCACCAGCCACTCACACCCTTCTCCCTGCTTCCCAGGGAAATGACGTTTAGACCCTTTCAGAGCATCAGGCTCTGCTCCAACCGTGACCTTCCAACTCCACTCTTACAGCCTCTTCTCAGGGCCCCTGTCACTGAATTGTTCCCTCTGCCTTCAAATGAGGGAGTCAGGGGTCAATGTGAGGAATATGCTTGAAAAAGAGGACACTGTGGGGACAGACTGGCTTGTGACACGGTCTGACCTATGGGAGACGGGCAAGAGCCCCTCCTGACAACTGTATTCCTGGAACAAGCCAATTCCCAGCCCCCAGCCTAGCTCCTGCTCTCTCACAAGAAGCTCTGGGCAGACAGCTCAGGCATCTCTCCAACCTGAGCCCATGGAGCACGGCAGTGTAACTAAAGTGTGCTCCACTTAGCAGTCTACGACAAAGCAAGTTCAGAAACTGAGCATTTAGAAGCATACACAGTGATCTGACATTACTATGACCATACAAGCTCATAATCACTTCCCTGGTAAGTCATTTTATCATGTGCTACAAAAAAAGAGTCTGCAGCAGACTGAAGTCAGAAGAACAAACTGAACTAGTCCTTCCCCAGGCAGTTTGAGAAGCACAGCAGCAGCACGTTAGGATGTGCAAGAGAGCAGCTGCTACCTCCTCCTCCTGGAACCAAAGCTGAGAGAAGAAACTGCCTGGAGGTCCTACAGTAGCCAAAAGCAAAGTTACGTTCACTGTGACTTTTTTAAAAAGATGTCTAAATGTGGTATTGGTTAAGGAACAGCTGATCAGATCAATGGGACAGGAAAAAAGTGGCCAGAAACAGACCCCCATAAATATAGTCAACTAATCTTTGACAACAGAGCAACATGATAGAGCAAAGACAGTCTCATCAATAGACAATGCTGGAACAAGGACACGTCCACATCCAAAACAGTCAATCTGGACACAAACCTAACGCTCATCACAAAAATTAACTCAAAATTGATCATAGACCTAAATGTAAAATGCAAAACTATACAACTCCTAGAAGATCACAGGAAAAATACCCAGTGACCCTGAGCATGGTCATGGCTTTTCAGATACAACAGCAAAGACACAATCCATGAGAGAAGTAACTGATTAGCTGGATATCCTTAAAATTAAAAACTTCTGCTCTGTGAATGACAGTATCAAGAGAATTAGAGATAAACCAGAGACTGAGAGAAAATATTTGTCAAAAAACACATCTGTTAAAGGACTGTTACTGAAAATACACAAAGACCTCTTAAAACTCAACAATAAGAAAACAGGATTTCCGGTCAAGATAGCCAAGTGGTAGGACCACGAGCTAGCCTTTCCTCGCATCTACGTCTACAACAAAACCACAACTGAATGCTAAACAACCATCGAAAAAAAGACTAGAATCTAGCAAAAAAGATCTTTTGCAACTGGAAACATAAAGAGGGAACCACAGCAGGACAGTAGGAGGGCCGTTCTCATGATATAATTGGGCCCCATA